GCTTTGTTTGAATCTACCACGCAAGACACCTGAATCCGCTGGTATAGGGAGAGCCAGCTATCCTGGATCCGCCCTTGGTCGATGCGAGACACGTTGTTTTTCAAAACGCATGCATGAAATGATTACGTGAACTTGAATTATCAGCTATTTCCATCTAGAAGAACCCTTCCCCAGTTTTGTGCCACCCTAAAGCCAGTCTTGTAATTCCCAGATATATCTCGCTTTCCTACACATAGAGTCAGTGCATGAGCCTTAGCAGCTATTGCGACCAAAATAGGGTTCCACAACCGTGCAAATATGCTTAGGCTCAATTGTTTCCAGACCGTTTTGAACTAACCCAAAGCACCGCCAAAGTCCTGCCATGCATCCGCCTCTGCTCAAAGCACGGAATCCACCTTCGCTAAAAATGGCTCAGCAATCAAACGTCCACAAAATGGGCAAATGTACTGAATATTATTTCGTGTTTTCTTACGTAAAGCATCGTAACCTACCCATCCCCCACCCTCCTCACTATGGAAGAGCCGCCACGGTGTTCATTTTTATATTGTGTCACAAAAAGCATGCATTTAAACCTTACCACTCAATACGTGTAAAACTTCCCATGGCGGGAGTTCAGGTAACTAATTTGTTGCTTTTTCACGTTTGTGTGAAATTGTGAAAACATTACGGAACGTGTCTTCCAAAACTCGTTCCAAGATCTGCCTCTGGTCAAAATTGAGTCTTGAAAGTTTGTTTTAAGTTTAAAAAAGTTAGTAAAGGCACAACATTTCAGGGTGATCCTTCTAATTGTGGGCATTGTTAGCAATAGAACCGGATGGCTGCCAATCAAGCCCCTCCCACACCGCCTATATGAAAATAACATTAACCCGCTGCCGGCCGGGAAAGGAGGCGGGGGGGGGGCGATTTTTGTTTCTTCCCTACCATTTAATTACCGTGTTTCTATCATTTCAACATCATTTGTGCGATTTGAAGCTTTGACCTATCAAGGTCAGTGACGTAGGCCAGGTCAAGGAGGTCAATTCTACAAAATTTTGACCATGCATAGCTTTGTTTTGCTTTATTTGCCATTGCTTGCACTTCCTACAGTAACAAACCATGAAGGTACCCACAGTTCATCTTATAATTTTTTTAAACAGCCGAGGTCAGTGACTTAGGGTGAGACCAATTTTTGTTACTTGTAGTGAATAATGCAAATTTGTACGCATCTTTGTGCACTTTTGGTTTTTGCGTATGAGAAAAAGGATATTAACTCATATGTATGCATATCATATGACCACAGAGCACATGCCATTGGCTTAGGTCATGACATTCCTCTATGGATGTCTTCTGCAAAGCACATGCTAAGCTCAAAATGCGCGGGTATTGTCAGCCAACTGTGGCGCAGAATTAGGACCTCCCACTGGAGGCATGCTGTGATGTTATCTTAATGCATAATAAAAAATAATAGGTCACGTAGAGACATACAAGGTCATATGAGGTCATTACAAATCAATGGCCTCTGCTGTCAGTAGCGGAGTGGCTAGATGAACGATTGCGACGGGTGCAACCATCTCTGTGCCTTGTTTGTGAAGCTGATGACGTATAATTTCATTTATCAGCTTACCTGTTCTCAGTTTGTTAGAAATACATTGTCAAGCGTCGAACTATGCTAATATATCCAAAAACAAAATAGAACTAATGTCTTTATATATATATATATATATATATATATATATATATATATATATATATACATATATACATATATATCCCATTATCTTACACATCACACAACATTATATATTCATAGATTATGATATCAAACATATAAGAAATGTATGCAATAGTTGTGCCACATTGAGTACCTTAAGATAAGCAATACACTATTTCTGACCATAGACAAACATTTTACTAGTGACTTTGACCCAATTAGCGCTGCAATTTTTCATTTGGATGGCTTAAGATTTTGACCTACGTTGACCACAGCTGACCTCTAGGCTGGTACTATTCTTCGTGATTTGAAAGACCTTCACAGCGGTATTTTTTATTTTTCTCTCACGACGTCTGTAGGTTTGAGACCCCTGGGGGAGTCAGCTTCCCTCGGCTGGGTGCTGTTGTCTCAGACCCCCGCCGGGCGCAGGTCAAACAATGCCTTTGCCACATTGTCCGATTTATAGCACTTGCTCTTAATCCAGAACTTGGAATGACCCGAGGTTTGCGAAAGAGTTTTGTCAACATACATGAACTATCTAAAACGGCCACTCGCTTCTTGAAGAGCCCGCAGCCTCTGTCTGGTAGCCAGGGTTCACGCAACAAGCACCGCTGAGCATAAGCCCAGATCTCAGAATCCATCCACCCAAAAGGTTCAGATGTATTCTTGAAAATAAAATGCCCAAATTACCAGTACTGCTGCAGTCATCACTGGTGCACTGTTACGCCAACGTAGCGGCCGGCTGCTTCTCCGGCCGTCGTCTGGAGCTAGTCGGCTCCTATCAAAGCCGACTAGACCTCAGGATTATGAGTTCTTATCAGGATCCTATTAGAGCCTGAGGATGTCTGGCGTGGAGAAATGTATGGATCTCTAGAAGGTGTCGTTACATTGGAGTCTCGTTAGTATTCGGGAGATACGTGCTTTAAACCCTTGATTCAATGGTTCATCGACCGGCACTCACCATTGCGCTCCTCTTTCCCGATGGTATGAAAGCTCATCTCTCATCCTGTTCTGATGCTCCGAGAGGATAATCCTTCTTTTATTCGTCGGTACTCAAGGGATATTTTTAATGGCTCGCTATCCTGCTTGGATACGAGCCTAGTCCTCATTCCAAAGCCTCCAAGGCCCGTGCAGGCTGTCCAACCGGCTCGACGTGTTTGAGCTCTGGATGCCATGCTGGACTGAACGGCCCCCGCCGCTGGTGGCGTACTCCGGCGCGGCGGGGCGTCCCCGACGTCAGGCCAGTCTGGATCGGGTGCCGGCCGCCGTCGGTCGCACCATGGCGACGCTGCGCGGCCTGCACGAGCTGGTGCAGGGCCTGGTGCACCGGCGGGACCCACGCGTGCGTCAGTACGCCATGCAGTCGTCGCCAGGCCCGGTGTTGGGCGCCATCCTCGGCTACATGCTGCTGGTGGCGTACGGGCCCCGCTTCATGAAGAATCGGTCGACGCCGCCGCTGCGGCTTGTTATGTTCCTGTACAACGTTGGCCAGGTGAGAGGAGGAAGGAGGTGCGTCTCGTGTGCTGCTGTAAGTATGCGTCACTTAACATCTGAGTGGCGTCACGTGACCAAAACTGACCAAACCCACAATAGCGAACGCCACCGTCGCAGGGTATGCAGGATTCTGCAGTTGAGGGGGGGGGGGGGGGCAGCACTCAAAGTTTCGCTGAAAACGTGGTTAAGTGGATCAAAAACGCGCGAAATTCATCGCAGTCGTAGCACAACAGGGCATATTCGCTCACTGATCAGTTTACATGTCTACATAGAAATTGTAAGCATTCACCTAGGCACATTACACTGCATCTAAAAAATTATGAAGGGTTACGTTCCAGATGTGTTGAGTTTGATGGTGGAGGATGGTAGCACTGGTAGTCACTAAAAAATGATAACATTGATTCACATCAGGCATTACAGGAACATAGCCCAGTGAGCCTGTGATATTGGAATGTGGTGTAGCAATCTCTGAAGCGTCCCATGGTTGACCACGCCCAGTCCCAGGTAAAGCCAGGGATCAATATATAGTTCATACCATTACATAGCACATAGTACAAATACATAGCACACATGCACAAAGCACAGCGCAAATACACAGCAGATAGCACAAATGCCCTAACGTTTCTTAATGTGTCGCGATGCAGACTGCAATGCAAGACCTCTTAGAGCAGGGGATTTTTGGCCGTTCTTTCGTCCACAGCGGTGCCAGCGAAATTGGCCTCGTCCAAAGCTGGACCCGCAATCTCGCTGTTTCACAGTGGTCTTGAATGATGGTGTCCAGAAGGATTTACGAACGGCATGACGCTATTTCTGGGATTCTACATTAATGAATGTGGACACCAATCAAATAAATGTTCTGCAATGCACTTCGGTGAATGGATCAATTATTAAAAAAGTAAAGCAGAAGACCCTAGCCATTTGTTTCCTTGTTTCAAAAACTTGTCCCATACTGTCCAAACGCTTGCCCCATACTTTTAATATGCTTGCCCAAGGCGCTTTCATGCATAATACTATAGAGCGGGGATATCAGAAATTGTCAATGCTTTATATCCGCGATGGGGTGGTGACGCACAACCCAAAAATTGTTACTGAAAAGTAAGCTACTGTTCCACATTTTACGATATTTAAGAAAGCAGCAGATACCATAAAAAAGGTGACTTGCAACTATCGGTGCGCGTTTAAGACCCCCCCCCCCCCCTCCCCCCCACACACACACAAACGGCCCCAAACAACACAATTTCACCATCTGAATAAATATGCATCCTTTTAAGCCATCACTTCACGTCTTGGAACGTGTCAGAATTGTTACTGTAGTGAACGGGCTGACTCATTTGAGGTAAAGTTTTTCGAAACTGATATCTTGATTTTTGCACCAGGCTGTTTTTTCCTACTCCAGCTTTAGCAAAAAAAGTTGTCTGATCGCTTTGCAGCTCAGCGATATTCTTCGTCACAAAGTGCGGAAAATTTGAGCCAGCCACCGAGGCTGCAGCCCGGTCTGTGGAGTCCCAATCCAATACGCTATCACACCGCTGTCCCAATAAATTCACCGCACGTGAAACGGCTTTTGATGCTGTAATGCAGGTGATTGGTCAGCATGTTAGGGTTTACGCGACCTGGGCATATTTATGCTTGTGTAAAGCTCTTTTCTCACGGCACGCCAGAGATCGGGGTGTTATTGCTGATGGATGGACCCAAATGCATCGCACTAGCTGATGAAGGAATCGCTGGCCCGTAAAATGGTTAGAGAACTGTTCCCCTCTTAAGCTGGAACAGGTAAAAACAGCCTTACACACACATGGCTTGTGGCATTTCTACGCTCTGCAAGGTGGCGTTGGTGGTCTATGCGTGTACATTTTTGCAGCTAACGTCACGTGCGTGTGTTCTGACCTTTTCTCGTCGTGTAAATGTCTGTGTCATACTCACAAAACGGGGCCTGTAATCCAGACATGCAATCGGTGGCTCAGGCTGGCTGTTATCCACTTTCCTCCTATCGTTGTGAGACTTGGCGCTGAATCACTTCAAACACGAACATTGCGGTGGCCATGTTTTTTCTTGACCATGAGCACAATGCAACCACTGAAGTGGGAGTATTCGCGTGATGTTGACGCGTGACGTGTATTCGTGCCACGAGTCTTTGATAACAGAGCACGCTACAAATACCCGTCGCGTGATGTTGACCCACCACATTGATTCATGTTGCGAGTCTTTGATAACAGCAGCATGCTACAAAAACTCGCTCACAAAGACGTTGCATTATTGATTAACACCGCCTTAGGCTCATGCATTATCAGTTTGTACTTGCGCAGGCTTGCCTTTTAGGCCCATCGGTCCTTCAGCAGTTGATAGAATGCATGCTCACCAATGTTTAAAACTGGTGTGCCTGTTTCAACAGCCGCGCTGAGGGCTACGTATTGTAGCTAACTCAAGTTCGTTTGGACACACTAGCCTCTACACGTGCCCATAAACGAACTCGGTCGTTCTCCGTAAACAAGGTGCCAGGCTATAAAATCATCTCGATTTCCTGCACGATGGTGTCCTATGCATTCGAATTTCACACCATCTACAGACGTGCTTTACTTCCGTGATTTATGAGATGGGCTCCTGATTGAAAGACAAATCAGGTGTGACTGGGTGTCCACATATTCCTGTGTCAAGCGTTCCAGCTCCGCTCATCACCTAATGCACCAAGTCCGTGCTGGGGCAAACTGGTAGACAAACATCTTCACCTTCGGGTACGTCTCAGGGCTGTGTCGTAACCCTCCATGCTGTTCGAGACACTTGAGTGTTTGTTTTATGTGGCGGCGCACAACTGAGTTTTAATGTGAGCTGTTAAAGTGTATAGGTTTTCTGTGCCACCAGGTGTAGCTGAGTGCCTGCATGCTACGGGAGTTCTGGATCTGTGAGTGACTGCTCTATGTTTCCAGGTGTGGCTGAGTGCCTACATACGGCGGAGTTCTGAGTATCTGAGTGACTGCTCTATGTTTTCAGGTGTGGCTGAGTGTCTACATCCTGCGGAAGTTCTATCTCAGTGACTGCTTTGTGTTTCCAAGTGTGGCTGAGTGTCTACACGCTGCGGGAGTTCTGAGTATCTAAGTGTCTGCTCTGTGTTTCCAGGTGTGACTGATTGCCTACATCCTGCGGAAGTTCTGAGTATATGAGTGTCTACTCTGTGTTTGCAGGTGTGGCTGAGTGCCTACATCCTGCGGGAGTTCTGAGTATCTGAGTGACTGCTTTGTGTTTCCAGGTGTGACTGAGTGCCCACATGCTGCGGAAGTTCTGAGCATCTGAGTGTCTGTTCTGTGTTTACAGGTGTGGCTGAGTGCCTACATGCTACGGGAGTTCTGGGCGAGCCGGCCGGCTTACTGGACCTGCTCACCGGTCGACGTCTCTGAAGACCCCGTGTCACTTCGCCTGGTGAATGCCTGCTGGCTGTTCCACGTCAGCAAGATCATCGACTTCCTGGACACGGTGTTCCTGGTGCTGAAGAAGGACCACAAGAGAATGACGTACCTGCATGTTTATCACCATGGCTCTATGGCCTCAGGGTGGTGGATCAGCACTTTGTACATTCCAGGTAAAAGTCGAACACAAACTTTGTCAAGATAAATTTTTGTTATTTTGTTAAGGAGTACAAAATAACAAAAGGTGAAGCTATCGGTGAGCCCAGTGTATGGGGGTACGGTGTCCACGCAGATCTTCCTGGTTAATGGTTTGCCTGTCGTGTTGTGGTTGTGAGTGGGAACAGTCTACGTGTCGCATGCATACATTGGAACCATACGCCCTATCGCGACGGTGGCTGCTGGCAGCGAGCAATTTTCCCCATTACCGGCGGTTGTTACGAACAGCACTGAAGAGGTCTTTGTGATGGGGAAATCTGTATGCAGTAACCCCCCCCCCCCCCGCAGCTATCAGAACCACCACCACTTCGCAGTCGACGGGCTATTGACCCCGATCATTTTAGAAGCTCAGACTCATCATGTATGGGACGCTCTTTCGAATCACAGTGAGGGATCTCATTCCTGACTCGACACAGAATGTTCTTTTGGCGCAGATGTGGTCATCATTAGCCTGGAAAGTCACGCGCATGAAACAGAACGGATGATTTCGGGATCCGGTATTCTGTCATCAATGATATATGTGCCATCAGGGATCCTTCGTTGGGATCCAGGCACACGCCTGCGGCGAGCTGGGTCGCAATCGATATCTTGCCCGTCATTCCTCCGGTGAATGCAGTTCCAATCTGCCTAGGGGGCACCGCCAACACGCTCAGCTGTTGAACGTGCGGATCCCTTCGGCGGAAATACTGGGGTCAAGTTAAGATCGCATTGCGTGTTGCGCGCGCCGATAATCGGGTGTATGTGTACGCCGTCCCTTGTGTGCACTTAGTTCACATGGAAAGCTAAATATTTTCAGGCCCTGAGGTGTTGAATGCACCTCGCTTCAGGGTACTGATAGTGTAATGGTTAATGCAGTCTGGGAAACTAGAGGTACGGGGTTCGATTCTCCGCGGCGCCCCCACTTCGTGCCGGGATGAGAGGCAGGCGACGCCATATAGCCTCAGCAGCTGAGTGCGTCGTAAAGCCCCGATGCCCCCCCCCCCGCACCCCGCTTCATGTCATAGCCCCATTACGCCTCACGCAGCCCACCTCGCTCACATATCCCTTTCTCTCCAACCAGGTGGCTCCTGCTGGATTCCAGGCGCCCTGAACAGCTTCGTGCACTGCGTTGTGTACAGCTACTACCTGCTGGCCGGTTTGGGCCCCCGAGTGCGGCCCTACCTCTGGTGGAAGCGCTATCTCACCCAGTTGCAGCTGGCCCAGTTTGGCTTCATCCTGTTCATGGCTGCTCTCATCAAAGTAAGCGAATTTCATGATCTGTTGTGCTTCTTACTGCTCTCGCCTTCCGTACGACTAGATTTTTTTTTCCTAGGCTAGCTCCTTGAACGTTTATACTAACATAACCACATTTTTGAATCGCTATTACCGTTCTCAGAATGCATTGGGAACTCAGAATGCACAGCATATTTCCAGAATCCATGACACATTACTTGCACCGCTCAGGAGCAACGGCCTTCCATAGTACCACCTAACCTGGGTATAAATGGTGACATAGAGCTACGGATAGCGCAAACAAGCCATTGCTGTTTTTTTTTTTTTGGTCAAATAACGTTGGATGCAAAAGCTCCTCACAAGTTCTACACAGATTCCAAAAGTAATTTGTCGATCAACGCGCTTCAAACGTGATCTGTACGTGTTCGTGCATGCCGACTGGGGCGACAGGGTGCCCAGTGCGGCACAGGACAGCATCAGACACAGCATTCCCTCCGTCCACAGAGCCCAGGACTGCGATGCGGCATGCCCGAGTACAGCTCCTCGATGACTATGAGCCACGTCTTCGTGCTCTCGGTGCTGTCCGTCGGCTTCAGCATGCAGTCGGACGCTCGACTTCCGCAGCCGAGTCGGGACGCTGCTGCCACCAGTATGCACAACGGCAAGATCCACGGCTCCAGGAATGGCAAGCCCAATGACAAAACGAACGGCTCTGCCAATGGTTACGCCAGCAGGCACGGTGGTGGTAATGGCAACAGTATGGACATCTACAGGCTTTTTGGTAGACGCCTGCTCAAAAATGGCTTCGGCTGTTGTCCTGACCAGGACTGAGGTCTGAGGGCCAGTGGTTCGACATTATATCGGACAGCCACGGCCACCGCAAGAACTGAGAACCATGAGTTCGACATTACATGGGACAGCCACGGCCACTGCAAGGACTGAGAACCATGGGTTCGACATTACAACGGACAGCCATGGCGACCGCAAGGACTGAGAACCAGGAGTTCGACATTACATGCCACAGCCACGGCCACTGCAAGAACTGAGAACCATGAGTTCGACATAACAACGGACAGCCACGGCCACTGCAAGGACTGAGAACCAGGAGCTCGACATTATATCGGACAGCCATGGCGACCGCAAGAACTGAGACCCAGGGGTTCGACATTATGTCGGACAGCCATGGCCACGGTGCCTGTACGAATACATAGCTGCAGTGGATTATGCGAAAGTGGCCGGGGTGCACTGGTATCCAACTGTGATGTAAAATTAGCGTGCTATCCTGTGAGACTGTCCGATTACCTGCTCAAAATCTCGTTGTTGTCATAGTGGAATTGTTGACGAGCTACTGGACTGCATGATATTTTAGACAGTGAGCCTGTGTGAAGGATCATGTTCGCTGTTCTGACTTAAGTTGTACATGTAATTGCAATATGTGGTCGTCACTCGTGCAGCTTTATGCAAATGTAGCTTAATGTAGAAGATGACAAGAGAAACCTTAGGCACATAATGGGATGAACTAGTCCAAAAAAAGGTTGAATATTTCAGCGATGGGCGTTAATCATGACAGGCACGGAAGCCAAACATTCGATTCAAGCCACACACGTAGTGCAGTGGAACATTTGAAGAAAGCATCACACACTTCTCTCAGCCGGCGTTATATCGAACAGTCTATTGGAAAGAAATTGTGTTACCAGACCCACCCATATGACGCCGGCGGAGATGTCCCATAGGACGCCGGCGGGGTCATATGAGACAGGATTCAAAATGTTCGGGTAAGAAGTCATGGTTTATGTGCGTGTGCGAGGTTTTAGTGTGCGGTTTGATCTAACATGCGTGTGCTGTAGAAGAACCCACGATTGAAATTAAATGTGCTTTCTGGACTAATTCATTTTATCATGAACGTAAGGCTGTTCTTATTTTCCTGGACATGTAATGTACCGTTGCTCATCCAATCAGTGTTTTTAAATGTTCCTCAACGTTGCCTCAGAGAGTGCTGCGGCTTATGTAATAACAGTGGTCGCAGTATTCTCATGGCAGAGTGCTGCTCCTAATGTTTAGAGCAAATATACTTGCATCGTGTTGTATCGCACTTTGTTAGGCCGTTCCATTTTAATTACGCTTTTCATATATATATATATATATATATATATATATATATATATATATATATATATATATATATATCTCTCTCTCTCTCTCTCTCTCTCTCTCTCTCTCTCTCTCTCTCTCTCTCTCTCTCTCTATATATATATATATATATATATATATATATATATATATATATATATATATATATATATATTCGTCTCAGTGTTCTTTTCGTCGTAAACAACCACGAGATGTACACAAAAATGCGCGCAATTCGTCCTTTTAACGAACAAATAGTTAACATCGACCTTACCCCCAGATCACTGACCTCGTCTATTTCGGAAAATATGAAATAAATAAACTGTAGGTTCTACCGTGATCTATTACCATAATGAGCTTGCGCAAATGCAGATAACACACAAACATTTATGCGAGGTCAAATGTTTTCAGAAGCTGACCTTGAACTGACTTATGTCCCTGACCTTGGGAGATCAAACCTTCCATTCGCACGAAGGATGCCAAATTGATGAGTTGGGAGGTCCTGAAAATTTCGTGTTACTACCAGCGTTCGCTACTGAGCCGTGCTCGAAAAACTGTAGAGAGAGTCAACTTCCCTCGAGCAGGTGCTGGTCAATGTCACCCAGGGCCGGCCCTTCGGGCCCTTCAATCGGACATGTCATAATTGGTACCGGGGAGCCCTTCGGGCCTCTCTGCCGCCCCCCTCGAATGATGCCCCGGTCTAGCCCTGGTTTCCCTGCCAGTGCATGACACTTAATAGGCACCGTGGGCCCATAACCGAAACAGAGGCCCCTCGTACCGAAACAGAGGCCCCTCGTTCATTGAGGGGCCCAACCAACATAGCTCGCGACCCCCAGCGTTGTTCCTGATTGGGGAATGAGCCCCCAGTCCCAGACCTGACGCTGAAGTAATCGGATGGCGAATCTTTTGCTTGTCGCCGTCGCTAAGCCTCCACCACGTCGCAAAATCGGCTCGATGGCAACGCGGGGATGGCCTAGCCCTTATGCACAACAAACAGGTTTCTCCGCGGAATGACCCGTATTCCTGCCAGCGTTATGAAGTTGGAATTCCTCCAACTGAACAGGGAACCACAGCCCTGATGTGATACGCTTCCTTACTCTGTCTTGACCGGAAGCGCTCTCGTTGGGCCTCATAATCAGTTTATTTGACCTCAGACATCGAAACCTGGTTTCGGTGATCGACGCAGAGTCGATGTAATGTGACTTCTGACGTTGTTTTGTACTCGGGAATAAAGGATGTAATTTGATGTGCGCCACTAGTAAAGGCTGACACGGAAGCCCCTGACCGCTAGGCGCGAGGCGGGGTGCAGTGTGCAGCTCGGCACTCAGTTCTGCACAACGCGCTTTGGCATGCTCGACAGTGCTTGTGAGATATTTGCCATCGTCGGACGATTACGTTATCAGTTTAGTCGGTTGATGTGGATCATCAGGTTTTCATAACTGTTCCATCGAGTGTTGTCGTGGAAAAAGAGGCCAGCACATATCAGGGGTTCGACCAAACGCAGACGGTTAATACATTGGTCACGTTTTTAGTTAGTGGCATTCACCTGGTTTGTCTTCATTTTCCGATAAGACCCGATAAGACATGATAAAAGAACGCAGCTTCCTGCAGTCAGTTAACTTGTTGTAAACTATACCCGAGTCAAGAAGACATATAAGTTGTGTAATTAAAACACGTAGCATGCAAGAAAAACAGAAAAAATCACCAAAATGCGGGAGGAAGACGGAGCTTTAACAACGTGTCGTCGGATGAACATGACTTCGCAGTTCTCTCTGCTTTCGTTGCTCTTACCTGAGAAACAATTATTTAAAATATATTTTTAACTGATATAGTTTTAAGCTCGAAACCTTTATGTTTCGTGTGCATTTAAGGCCCAGAAGGTTGTGGCGGGGGAGGGACAAACTCGCTGTTCCAGGGGAGGGGCAAATTGGACATGGTGTCCAATTTGCCAAGTGTCACACCAAAAAGAATGCAAATCAACATCCGTAGACAAAGGTCTTGAAAGTAGAAACAGGCGCGTTTGTACTATGTTGTTGCTGATGGCATGCCCGTTATAGCCAGGCGCAATATGGTACTCATATGCTCGCTTTCCGTGGTTGTTCGTTGGGCGAGAAGGATAAGTAGACTGACATGTACTTCACTCATCATTTTGGCGAGCTTTAAGGAGAGCTGACAAAGCAAAGTCCCCGGCTGTCCGTCCGCCAGTTTGTTATGTTAAGTGAAGATGTCAAAGAAGTCGACGAGCTTTTGCGCATTAACCCGGTCAAACCTTCGAAGAACATTCAACACATGGTCCAAATTACGTCGTCCGAAGATCACCCAGCTGCAAAGTTAAACACTTTCTGGAATTTCTCAACTGTCGTTCTGTAGGCACTCCCAGAAACCGGAGCGCAGTGGCGGACATGGGAGGACATATGCGCGTTAAAAATGCATGGCAGGTAACGCTGGTAAGTAACATGGGGGCTTCAGCTCACACACGCCCCCCCCCCCCCCCTCCCCAACTTGGGACCCAGAGCCCAATTTTTTTGGAAGAAAATGGGTCAAATCTGAAGACAACACCGTCTGGTGACGAATTTAGGGGAAAGGCTCCATCGCTTTTCGGTGATTAGCATTCCACTCCGTCCCCTACCCTCTCCACCCTCGCAACATGTTTTGTGAAACTATGCTCACGTATTTAGCAGAACAAGAATACCAAAGACGGTACAAATCATCACCGATGTGCAACACCCAGGACAACACAGGATCCATGGTCACACCATCTTCTATCTTCTTCACTTCTTCACTTCCATTTCACCCATAAATCTCAGCCATCTGAGCATCGGAGTCTTAGCCCAAAACAGTCCGGCGGGGACTCACTGACCTCGCTGATCTGGCGCCTGTTCCGTCTCGTCAGCGTTAATCATCGTGCGATGTTGGATAAGTCACATGCGCGCGTCTCGCAAGATTGCCGTAGATCGCACAGCCTGTTACGTGGTCCTGTGACGTCAGCGTGCCGTGACGTCAGCGATCTGCGTGCCGTCAGGGCAACGGAGCGCACTGTACACGGGAGCTGTTATGTCACGGAGCACACTGTTACACGGGAGCTGTTGATATCAGGGTAACGGAGCACACTGTTACACGGGAGCTGTTGATATCGGGCAACGGAGCACACTGTTACACGGGAGCTGTTGATGTCAGGGTAACGGAGCACACTGTTACACGGGAGCTGTTGATGTCAGCGGTGTAGGGCAAGTGAGAACCTTACTGGTTACGTCACACAGCAAAGAACCGAGGCAGGCACCCTGCAAAGTGTGCATAGTGGCGTTTGATGGACTCGACAGCGTATCTTCCCCTCTCACTCGCCGCGTGTGATCACCCAGATAAGTATCGAAGTAGTCTGCACAGTACGTGGCCACGCGCACGCAACGTCCGATCCGTCCTGGGATCTGAGCCTACTGATCCCGTCCATAGCGGGCCAGGCGCAACTGCAGGCTTGCCTTGACCTCTTCACAAGGATCAAGGTGCTTACGGACATAAAAACCTGATGTGTTCCATGTGCCAGACACTCCGAAAATACTCCGAGAAATTCCTGATGCAGTGGTTTCCACGCACCTTTGTAGTGCATCTGAAGTGGTTCTCGCTGCGGCAAGATCAAAGCAGAGTAAGCTGAACACCACTGTTGACTTCTCTGCTAGTGGTGTGGACCTGTCCCCATACTATGCCGTACAGGGGACTTCATGGACAGCCTGTACGGTGTGGCCAACTATTGTGACGCGTCGCTCTTTGGCCATCACATGGCTCACTGTATATATCTCTTTTTGCGGCAGTGCCACGAGTGCAATGACTCCAGGAAGTCCGGCCCATCCGTCTGCGCCTCGCCAACAGCTGTGCACGATATATGATGCTCTTCGACCTGGCTAATAGCTGACTTAGTGCTGACCTCAGTGCCTTAACTGGAGGGGGCTCGAGAGGGCTGTCCAGCCCGTAGTCCCGCCAGATAAGTGCCGTAACTCGAGGGGGCTCGAGAGGGCTGTCCAGCCC